AGAAAAGCATGCTTGTGAACTGTGCAGTGAATTGGAATGTGTGAAATATACTTGTAGGTGGTCTTGGGAGGGCTAGTGGGAGTGGTGAAGGGTGACGGGTGAAGGGACGGGTTGGCAGTCCGTTAAACTATGGGTGGTCTGAACTGAAAATGCATATAAATCGCATGGAGGTTCAAAGCCTTGAGTAGTTGCCTTGGGAATAAATGACAAGGCCGAACGTCAAATTTCTGTAAATGAGTATTTGGGTCTTGGGGATAAATGTCAAGAACCAATACGCTGGGAAGTCATCGGTACCTTGGGGATAAACGACAAGGACCGGTGCACAGTTCAGGCCTTGGGAATAAATGGCAAGGCCGAACATCAAGTTTTTGTAGATGAGTATTGAGGCCTTGGGGATAAATGTCAAAAGCCAATGCGACTTGAGGAGTTAGGCTTGAAAGACTAAAGTAGAGTGGTGCTTGCGAAGTAGTGGTGCTAGGCCTTGGGAATAAATGGCAAGGTCGAACATCAAGTACTGTAAAAGAAGGGGGGACGGTATCTTGGAAATAAATGTCAAGAGTCGTCATGCCTCGAGAAGTTAAACGGGGAGTATCACAGAGGGGTGTAGAGGGAGGTTTAGTACTGTGGGACAAGGGCTAGTGAATCATATGGTTGTAGTCTTGGTAGTTTCGACGCATGGTTGTTGTATGTAAATGTCAAGTTATTGTTTTTTTTTATCTCGCTGTCTATTTAATTGTCTTGCCATCGTTTTATTTTATATGCCGTGACTGTGAGCATGATTTTTGTGTTAGTTAGGAAGGGCTACTTACGGAGTACCTTATGTACTCACCCCCCTTTTTATCCTTATTTGTTTTCAGGTGTGAATAGGGCCGACCGTTGTGATGACGTGGAGGGGGCTTGACTGAGGAGGGATCACTAGTCGAGTTAGTGAGGATAGAGGGAAGGGTCATTTGGTACGAGTAGCATTGGGATTTATTTTATTGCTAGGTGTGGACCCGAGGAGCGATTTTGTTTTCTTTAGAACTATTTCTTTTTTATGGATGTTATTGTTAAACGCGTCACTGTTGTCGTTGGAGTTTAGGTGTACGATTGTTTTATTTATTTAAGAATTTTAGCCACTGAGGTGGACATTAGATGTTTTTTTTTAAATTGCCCACAGAGAGCGAAGTTTTGACAGTTTATAAAATTGATATTTTTGGTGGAATTATGGGAGTCGAAGCTTTATTTTATTTAAATTATTTCCCAGGGAGTTGGTTATCTCGTGTTTAGAGTTAAGGCTACACATGTGGATTATTTAGCATTACCTTGGATGGTATATAACATATTGGGGCATTACTGTTGGTATCAGAGTCGAAACGTTCTTGTAGACTGAGTTAGTAGCTAGCATACTTAGGAGTAGTGATCTCGGTCGACCTCCTTGTCATCACCAGGTACGCTTCATGCTTGTCCTTCAGAACTTGTACATTCCCCATGATTTACTTGTGCGCTGAATTTTTTTTTCTTTCATCAGTTTTTGTTGCCGCTCTGTTTCGCTAGGCATAAAGTGTTCACTAAGCGTACCAAATAGAATGTAGTGGACCTTTTACTACTATGGGAGTTTCAACTGCCACATTCCTGTTAGTCTATGCGTGGAGTATCGTGCTAACGTCTTGCTGAAATTTTGTGTCGTTCATCCAGACAATGCCTCCCCGTCGTAGTATGAGATTGTGACCTGACGCCAACCCCGCTCCCGGAGGTGAGAACGGAGCGGATCCACTGCCCCCTCCTGCTAGGAATCAGGTAGGAGTAGTCCCTCCATTTCCTCCAACAGCAGCTCGAGAGCGGGCATATCCTCTAGTTCCCCCAGCAGTTCGTCAGGTGAACCCCCAATTGGTGTTGCTTGTGGAGGCATTACAAGCAGTGATCAATAACGCAGCAGGGGTGGGCGGAGTCCAAGCTCAGCCACCCCAACATCTTCATACTCCCCAGAGCGAGGCTCGCTTCATCAAGGATTTCAAGCGTTACGGACCCCTAACCTTTGATGTTGAGAGTGAAAGAGCGACCGCAGCGGAAGAGTGGATCAGAGAGTTGGAAGCCCTTTACACGTATCTTGGTTGTGAGGACCAATTCAAGGTGAAGGGTGCGGTTTTAATGTTGAGGGGCGAGGCCCTGAACTTGTGGGACTCAATAGCAGTGGCAGAGGATCATGCAAATGTACCGATTCCGTGGACGAGGTTCAAGGACTTGTTGTACGACTACTACTATCCGGAAACTGTAAAAGACATGAAGGAGGCGGAATTCCTCCATCTAGTCCAAGGAACCTTATCGGTGGCACAGTATGAAAGAAAGTTCGCGGAACTCTCCTGTTTCGCTCTAGAGTTGATTCCCACTGAGGCATTGAAGATCAAGAGGTTTGTTAAAGGCTTGCGCAAGGGAATCAGAGGCCCGGTGGATCTTCAGTGACCCACCACCTATGCTGAAGCGGTTAGGGGCGCCTTGATTATGGATAAGGATGTCTCCAACAAGGCCTCACCCCTACCAGAGGTCGGATCATCTTCAGGTGTGAAAAGGAAGTTCCATCCGACTTATGCCGACCCGGTATTGAAAGCATCCCAGCGCCAGGCTCAGCACCAGGGCATGCCGCCAGTATGCCCCACCTGCCAGAAAAGACATATGGGGCAGTGCTGGACGGGAAGTAAGGGTTGTTTCAGGTGCGGAAGAGAGGGGCATTTTGCAAGGGAATGTCCCATGTCGGCCGCAAATACACAGAGGTTAGGCCAGAGGATTTCCCCATCAGTTTCAACGTAGGGAAATAACCAAAGGGCTCGTGTCTTCGCACTTACTCGCAAGGAAGCGGCGGATGCCAAAACCGTGGTCACAGGTATTTCTTCTCACTTTTTGGGTGTTGTGTGTGAGTGTATGTCCTTATCTTTGCGTTGTGATCCAGGTACCGTCTTAGTCCATGATGTGTCTGGGTATGTATTGTTTGATTCGGGGTCGAGCCATACTTTAATCTCTTCTGCGTTTGTTCGTCAGGCAACCCTCGAATTAGAGCCATTAGGGTTTTTGTTGTCGGTTTCTACACCATCAGGGTCAGTTTTGATTGCTAGTCAAAAGGTGAGGGCAGGTGAGTTATCTTTTGATAATCAGACCCTAAGGGCAAGATTGATCCAGCTGGACATGCAAGATTTTGACGTTATTTTGGGCATGGATTGGCTAGCTACAAACCAAGCCAACATTAATTGCTCGAGAAGAGAGGTCTCCTTCCAACTACCTTTGGGTCGGAACTTTACATTTAAAGGAGTTACGGGTAGAGTCCTAAGGACAGTATCGGCGTTGAAGGCAAAACGTCTGTTACGGAATGGAGCTTGGGGATATTTGACCAACGTCATCGACATTAGTAAGACTCCACCTAGTATTGACTCCGTTGATGTGGTCAGAGAGTTCCCAGACGTGTTCCCCGATAACCTTCCGGAGCTACCCCCTGTTCGTGAACTGGATTTTTGCATCGACTTACCACCCGGGACAACCCCCATTTCGAAGGCACCGTACCGCATGGCTCCAGTGGAACTTAAGGAGCTTAAGGCTCAGCTGGAAAAGATCTTAGACAAAGGCTTCATCCGCCCGAGCGTGTCTCCTTGGGGTGCTCCCGTGCTGTTTGTGAAAAAGAAAGATGCATCTATGCGACTTTGTGTTGATTACCGGGAACCGAACAAGATGACAATAAAAAATAGGTACCTCCTTCCTCGCATCGATGACCTCTTTGATCAACTAAAAGGAGCAAGGGTGTTCTCGAAGATAGACTTACGATCGGGGTACCACCAGTTGAGAATTAAAGACGCCGACATACCTAGAACAGCCTTCAGGACCAGGTATGGGCATTTTGAGTTTACCGTTATGTCTTTCGGACTCACTAATGCACCTGCGGCATTTATGGACCTCATGAATCGAGTTTTTAAGGAATTTTTGGACCTGTTTGTGATCGTGTTTATCGACGATATTTTAATTTACTTTAAGACAGAAGATCAGCACGAAGGACATCTGCGGCAGGTTCTTACCGCTTTGAGGAAAAATAGCCTGTACGCGAAGTTCTCGAAATGTGAGTTTTGGCTGGTTAAGGTGGCTTTCCTTGGCCACATAGTTACCAGGTAAGGTATTGTCGTGGACCCGGCCAAGGTGGAGGCGGTCAGTGGTTGGCCAAGGCCTCGCACAGTGACCGAAATCCGCAGTTTTCTCGGCCTAGCCGGCGATTATAGAAGGTTCGTCCAGGATTTCTCTCGGGTGGCGGCGCCGTTGACTCAGTTAACCCGCAAGAATGCCACGTTCACTTGGAGCGATGAATGTGAGAAAAGCTTCCAAGAACTGAAGGAGCGTTTGGTCACGGCCCCAATGTTAACAGTACCGGATGGGGCGGGAAGTTTAGTGGTGTACAGTGACGCTTCACGAAGGGTTTTAGGTTGCGTTCTGATGCAGCATGGGAAAGTCATTGCCTATGCCTCACGACAGTTAAAGGTACACCAGCTTAACTATCCCACCCATGATTTGGAGCTTGATGTGGTAGTGTTCGCCTTGAAGATATGGAGACACTACCTATATGGGGAAAAAATTCAAATCTTCACTGATCACCAAAGTTTGAAATATTTCTTCACTCAGAAAGAACTTAACCTAAGGCAGCGGAGGTGGTTAGAACTGGTAAAAGACTACGACTGCGAGATCAATTACCATCCGGGTAAGGCAAACGTGGTGGCCGATGCACTCAGTAGAAGAGCAGCAAGCGTAGCTCCTCTGGTAGTACCTCCTGGACCAGTGTTAGATGAGTTGGACCATTCTGAGGTGGAGTTAGCGGTAGAAGATGTCTCAACAGTGCTAGCTCAACTTTCGGTCGAACCCACCCTAAGACAGCGAATCATCGCTACACAAAGGGGAGGTTCCAGCCTGAACAAGGGTTTCGTTATGCTGGGCCAAGGAGATTTTTCCCTTTCGGAAGATAAGGCTCTACTCTATCAGGGGAGACTGTGTGTGCCAAGAGATTTTCCTTTAAGGAGGGATTTACTAACCGAGGCTCATAATACCCCATTCTCGGTGCATCCTGGGAGTACCAATGTATAGAGATCTTAAGAGACACTATTGGTGGCACAATATGAAGCGTGAGATTGCTCAGTTTGTTAGTAGCTGTTTGACGTGCCAACAGGTGAAAGCCTCCAGACAGAGGCCCACCGGGTTGTTGCAACCTTTAAGTATACCGGTGTGGAAGTGGGATGACGTAGCCATGGACTTCATTACAGGGTTGCCGAGGACGGCTAAAGGTTTCACAGTGATTTGTCGCTTAACAAAGTCTGTGCATTTTATACCAGGCAAAGCCATGTATTCAGTAGAAAGGTGGGCGAAACTTTATCTGCAAGAAATAGTTAGACTTCATGGCATACCAGTGACCATAGTGTCAGATCGGGACTCCCGTTTCAAGTCAACGTTTTGGCGGAGTTTGCATAAAGCACTGGGGACACGACTCGATTTCAGTACGGCGTTCCACCCCCAGACCAATGGCCAAACCGAGCATCTAAACCAGGTTCTGGAAGATATGTTGAGGGCTTGCACATTGGATTTCGGTGGTTCTTGGGACAAACACCTGTACTTAGCAGAGTTTGCATACAACAACAGTTATCAGGCGACCATTGACATGGCCCCATATGAAGCGTTATATGGGAGAAAGTGTAGGTTGCCGGTGCATTGGGATGAGGTCGGTGAGAGAGTCTTGTTGGGACCAAAATTGGTACAAGAAACTAATGGCGCCATCCAAAAGATTAGAGCAAGAATACAGACGGCCCAAAGCAGACAGAAGAGTTACACTGATGTTAGGCGAAGAGCATTGGAGTATGATGTCGGTGACCACGTTTTTCTTCGTGTGGCACCGGTGAAGGGAGTCCTACGTTTTGGTAAGAAGGGAAAACCCAGTCCAAGATTTATTGGTCCTTTTGAGATATTGGAGCGAATCGGCTGGGTCGCTGATCGGTTGGCTTTGCCATCGTCGTTGAGTGCAGTGCATAACGTGTTCCACGTGTCCATGTTGAGGAAATACGTCCATGACCCTTCCTACGTCTTGGATTACGAACCACTGCAGGTAGATGAAACATTGTGCAATAGGGAAGTACCCATTGGGATCATAGCGAGAGAGACCAAAGTGCTGCGGAACCGGGTGATTGACTTGGTGAAGGTCTTGTGGAGGAACCACCAAATAGAAGAGGCTACTTGGGAGAGAGAAGACGAAATCAGGGCCCAATATCC